TTTTCCATGTTTTGTTCAGATAGAGAGGGGGGGGGAGAGAGAGAGAGAAACATCAATGTGAAAGGGACACATCGAGTGGCTGCCACCCACACAACTCAACCAGGGCTAGGGACAAACTGCAACCGAGGTACGTGCCCTTAGCGGAAACCGAACCTGGGTCTCTCCGGACCACAGCCCAATGCTCTGACCGCTGAGCCAAACCGGCCAGGGCTAGGCTTCTAACTTCTTAAGGACATGAGCTCTGTGTTGTATTCATCTTAGCATTCCTTGCAGAACTGAGCTAGGCACATCATATGCACTTGCTAACAGAATAAAGGAATAGATGGATGGGTGGATAAATGAATAAATCAAAGGATGGATGACAGATGGGTTGGTGGATGGATGAATAAATGAATGGGTGGGAGGTAAAGATGGATGGATGTATGCATAGATGGTTGGATGGATGGGTGGTTGGATGGAGCAACCATTCTCTAAAAGGACTCACAAAAGGCTATGTAGTATCAGGGGCTTCCAGGGAGGGAGCCCACCCCATGCCAGGACATGCAGAGGAGGGCACAGTATCCAGACTGAGCCTTCCTTTACTAATATATACATCCTCAGTGACTTGTCTCCCGGAGGCCTGGGTATATTCCCTATTCCCTGAAGTCACAGTCTGAGCTGCTCCTTCCTTCTTGCTCTCCTGGACCCTCTGGGATGCCTTTGTTAACATGTTATTTTGCACTGCCTGCACTATAATGATTCTGTGGGTTTCCTCTTTCACGTCCCTTCCCCTATCTCACACACACCCTAGATTTTGAGCTCCCAGAATATAGGAACCATGTCTGAATCTATTGTGTGTCCTTAGGGCCTGGTATATGTGTTTCATGGGTAAGTGAACAAATGAGTAACTGAGTGAATGCTGACTCTTTTCCTATAAGCATACTTTGCACACTTCCCATGTATTCATGTTCAGTCATCTCTCCTGGTCCTCTCCTCCTTATACACATGCACATACTCCTGACCCTGAATCTCCTAAAGCCCCAGAGTTTTGGCCTGATTGTTTACTTTACTAATTTGTGGCTGATCTAGGGAAGTACCAGGGTTCTCCTGAGAGTCTGAAAGAGGAGGAGGCTCTTAGCTCCTCTCCTCGAAAGCCATATTAACTGGGACCTATTTGGAACAGAAAAGGGCTTCCCTGGGAAGAACCTGGCTGTGGGGAGGGTAGTAGGGTCCTGTGGTAACCTGAGGGCTGCTGCCCCAACCTGACCGTGCCCTCCTTTGGCTGCTGTCCCTACTCCTGACTTGTGACGCTGTCCCAAGGTGGGGGGTGGTTGTGGCCTTGAGGCTGGCTGGCTGGCAGAGACAGCCAGATTTAGAAGTCATTTTCGCAGCAGGGAGCCTCCAGCCTGCCACCCACAGGGCCCAGCAGAGCCAGTCTGAGATATGGCTCATCAAGGGCTGCCCCCAGACCTGCAGTTGCTCCTCCCCCCAGATCTCCAGCAGCTGGTGCTGACTCCATTCTTAGTCGAAGATGAAGAAAGTCCTGGGGGGTGGGAGCATGTTACATTGACACCCTAACCATCCAGGTGCTCCCAGTATACCATTTACCCATTCAAGAGGCTTTTCTGCACCCCAGGGATCCCCTCTCCTCTGAATCTGGTCTCTGCTGCCTTTTTCTCTTCTTCCCCTACCTCTACCTCTCTCTTTCCCATCCTCATGTTCCTATACCCCCAATACTAATGAAATAGCCCTAGAGAGAACTAATAATCAGAACTTAATATTTATATATCACCTTTTAGGTACCAGGCATTGTTCTCAATGTTTTATATATTGAATCATTTAATCCTCCCAACAAGCCTATGAAAACAACATTATTAATAACCCAGTTTTATAACTGACAACAATACACAGAGAGGTTGAGTAATTTGCCAAAGTCACATAGCTAGTTTGAGGTAGAGACAAGATTTAAAGCCAGGCCCCTGAGTTCATGTCCTAAACACAAGACTACCCTAGTTCTCTAACAATGGTAGAGAGAATTATATAGGGGAAGAGGAGGAAGAGGCAGCAGAGGTCAGATCCAGTGTGGGTAAGCTCTTAGTAACGGGCTTCCTGGGTGTTCAGCTTCAAAGAGGCTTGGGCAGCATCATGGAGCCCACTTCCACAGGGCCAGCCCCTGCACCGGCTCACCTCTTCTACCAGCCTCAGAGCTCTGGAGCCCCTGGGCTATAGCACAATCCAGGCAGATGCTGTCGCCCCTGCCTTGGCCTTCCTCTATTTTGCTCCTAGCCTGAAGTCCATCCTCTCCTCAAGCCTAGAGGTCAAAGGCACAAGCTCCTCAGCTGGACCAGGCTCACCTCAACATGGCCTCAGTTTTCATTCCTTCCTCTATCTTCCACAACTCCCCTGTGTATACCCTCGACTTCACTCAAACCAGACCATTTCCCCCACATCTATGCCTCTTATTTTTGCTGTTCCCTCTACTTGAAACCCCTTTCCCCAAATTCAGTCTTTTTTTGTTTGACTCCTTAAAGTACTTAACACTCACTGCTCAATACTATCATTATTTGTGTGTTTTCACCTTCACCCCACTGTCAGGCAGGCCTTACTCATCTCTTTCCTGGAGCCCAGCCCAATTCCTGGTCCCTCTCAGGTGCTCAGTAAATGCTCAATAGTTAGAACCTGTAGTAGATAGAATTTTAGGTGGAAGGGAGGCACACCTCAGGAACCTTTGATCTCCTCTCAAGGTGACCCCCACTTCCTTACTTCCTCATCCAGGAGCTAAGTGGAAACCTGGCAGTGTGGGTTTCAGGCAGGTTCTGGGATAGACCTTCCCTGGGTAACTGAGCAACATTCTCCCTTCAGGTTCAGAAGTACAAAGAGGACCTCCCTCCCGCTCCAAAGAACCAAGGCCAGGCAGCCAGCTTAGGGTCCAGTCCCACGGCCTCCCAGGCCACCCAGCCCTCTCCCTACCCTGCCCAGTCTCTCCAGGTGCGGGTGGAGAGTAACATGGATATAATTGGAGACCAAAACCATAAGTGGTTTGAGAGCGGGACTGGTTGGGGATCTGAACGCTGAGCCGAAGTTGGAGTTGGCGGGACTCGGTGAGGGTGGGGGTAGAGGCGGAGCGGAAGGCAGGGCCAGGACTTCGAGACTGAGTCTGGGCGAAGCCCCCGCGCCCGCCGAGTCGGCGACTAAATTTACCCAGGCTGACTCAGCCCTTGCCCGGAATGGAGGGTGGGGGGAGTGCGCCGGGGCAGTGGGAAGGGCCAGCGGGAGGTGGGGGGCAAGAAGGGAAGAGTCCGGACTGGGGGAGACAGGAGTGGGCCGGGAGTTTCCATCAAAGAAAGGAGTGCCTTCCCCCGCCTACCGAGCAGGAAAGAGTGGAGCCTTGGGGGAGGAACACTGTGGAGAAAGGGTCGGTGAAAGGAAGAAGATGCCAAAGTTGGACAAAGGGAAGCTTAGATTTATTGAGCGCCTACTGTGTGCCGGGCACGGTGCAGGCGCTTTACATACATTATCGCATTAAATCCTCACAACAACCCTGCGAGGTAGGTGTTTATATACCCCCATTTGACAGATGAGGAAACTGAGGCTCAGGGAGGTGAAGTGATTTGGCCAAGTTTACATGGCTAGTAAATAGAGAGAAAGGAGGTGTCCAAGACCATAGAGAAAAAAGATGTCCGCGTCTGGGTCCCAAGCCATTTGGCGTGGATAAGTACAAAGAGGGGCTCGGCGCGCTCCAAAGGTCTGGATGGCCAGAGGCCTGCTCCCGACCTTGCACGCCTGCAGGCGGCAAGGCTGGGGAGCCCCGCGCGGTCACTAGGGATCAATCGATTAAGTGACAGTACCAGGGTAGGAGGGACTCGCGGACAACCTACAGGGGAAATCCGCGACCTGCGCGCGCCCCGTAGTGGCTACAGCGAGTATCACACTCTAAACCTACAGGCTTTTTGGGACCAGCCTCTCCCTTACGAGACCGGTTTCTGGAAGAGGCAGAGATGCAAGAAATTCTCAGGATTCTTTCAGATGGGTGATACCACCTGGGTGGGAAATCGTGGCAATGATTCAGAGCATCACTAAGACACATTGGGGAAGAGGAAAGGGGAAGGTCTGTGAAGGTCCCAAGTGGATTCATTGTCTGTCTTTACTCTCCTGCTTGGACCACCACGGGCCAGGGACAGTGACAAGGTAGGTAGCCCTCACCTAAATCTGAGAGACTGGGATAGGAGCCCTTGCCTATTAACTGAGCTCTTCTGTAAACCCTGGAAAGTCTCTTGAATTAAGGATGAGTGCAGGTGACAATGAAGCCACCCAGGGACCTTCAGACTCTGTTCAGCTATTCCTAACTCTTTCTTGACTTAAGAAAGGGAAGATGAGACAAAAGCTTTCCCAAAGGCAGGAATGGACCTTAGAATTCCCTCATTTTACCTAATAGGAGGACTGGAAAGGGAGAGTGACTTGCCTAAGGTGCCCCAGTACATAGTGTCAGAGATGGGATTGGAACCCAAGACTTGTGACATCAAAGTGAGCCATCTTGCTTTGCTGGTTGCTTCTGGACCCCTTCCTCTTCTGCTAAGGACTTCACTGTCACCCGTTCACCTCAGTCCAAAGCCTCTCCATCACTTTCTCCCTCCTGCTCAGGGACCCTACCCTGAAGTTGCCCTCCCATGACTATATTATCCCTACCTTCCTGGCCTCTAGGCCAGGTTTCTATGCTTAACTCTACACCCAGTGCAGCCACCCCTGAAAGCGGTGTGACCTGAAAGGAGCAGACATTAAAGTCTACTGCTCACTCTCACCTCTCCTGTTGTGTGTGTGTGTGTGTGTGTGTGTGTGTGTGTGTGTGTGTGTGTGTGTTTAAATCACCAATCAGCATGTGTTCCCTTTCCTTTCATTTGGGCGGCTTGTATTTGGGGTATTGGAACCAATATAAGTAAGGGGTACAAGGAAGTCTACGAGGAAAAAGGGAACCAGTGGGCCCAAGGACGAGTGGGTTGGGGCACACAAATACAATGGGCCTCTTACTGTCTCTCCCTATTTTCCTGTGGGGTCCTCTTAGGATCCCTCTCCCTAAAGAGGACCTCCTCGGTTCGGCTGATGGCATCTAGAATCTCTCGGATACCATCGCTTGGCTGTGCTGTCTTCCCGCCTTCCCGGGACCCGGTCCGCTCATTCCGCCAGGAGGCGCCCGAGGCTTCTGTGTCGCTTCCATCAGAAGAGCTGCTGTGGACGCTGAGCTCCGCAGCTTCGTCTGAGTCCGAGTCTGGAGCGGTGTGGCGGCGGATGCGGGACACGGCTTCCCGCAGGGCCCCCGCGTAGGGCCCCGGGATCCGCGCCCAGCTCCGGCCCGCGTGCCGTGGGACCCCCGACACTTCCCTCGAACCCTCAGCACTACTGGCGCCTCCCGAAGTCTCTGTGCCTAAGGCTGAGTGCTCTGGGCTACCTGGCAGCGTGGGGGCGTCCTGCAGGTTTACTTCGCCCACCGGGAGCCCCAAGATGCGGGAGGCTCGCTCCTCCAATGAGGAATCCGAGGGGTTCCTGCCCTTAGCTTCGAACCCGCGCCCCCCATATGGCTGGTGTGAAAGGCGACTGCTCAACAGCAGCTTTTGGCAAGGGGAAGGAAAACCAGCGACCCCCTCGCCTTCCTCCCTGTTGGACTTCGGTTGGCTGGGGGCACCCCCCACAATGCGTGGTACCCCAGCCGGCAAAAGCTGCACATGCTGGGTTCGAGGGGTCGTGACATACTGGGACCTTATCACCACGCACGTGGCGTCAATGACAAAGACACCTTCTCCGCGAGCTGGGCCGCGGGAACTGCGGGGCAGGGTGTGGGCGTGGCGGGTCGTCTTCCAACCCTCCAAGATTTCGGGTCCGGCCCCCTCTCTATGACCCAGGGACTCTCTCCATCCCGTGCCTCCTGGAGCCCAGGGTCTGGGGAGGGTCTGGCTATGCCGTGGTGGCTGCTTTTTAAGGGAGGGAATCCAGGATTTGGGGAGCCAGCTCTGTTCTCTACCTTCCTTCCCTTCCCCAGAGCCCTTGAGATAGGACCTGGATCTGGGAACCGGACGCGGGGGGCTGGGAGCCGCAGTTGCAGACCCCACAGGAGCTGTCGCTGTGCCTGGCCTCCCAGCCACTTCGGTTTGGGAGTGACCACTGTTCCGGCCAGCAGCAGCCAGCCCCAGACTCTTCTCCGCAGCTCCCTTGCGGGGCTCCAGCTTAGGCCTGGCTGTTCCACAGCCCGGGGATCCCCCCAAGAGACCCCGCTCCTGCCGGAGACCCCAAGCCCCTAGGACGTCCCGGTAGATCCGAGGATCCAGCCTTTTCTTTGTACACCCTCCCTCTGTCCTGGCTGGAGTCTGAGCAGGGGCTGATGAGATGGGCGCCTGGGAAGGTTCAGGACCTCTTTTAGTCCCCAAAGTCCTGTGGGGGCCTTCATAAGAAGGTGGAGCCACATAGGGTGGCGGGCGGTCCCAACGGCGTCGTGGGGCCGTCCCAGCTCTCAGCAGCAGGTGAGCCTCATAGCTGGGGGGGCCTGGCCTGCGACCTCCCCAGGGCCCTGCCCATGCCACCCTTGGGTCGTTCTGCGGCTGACCAGATGGACGGGGTGGTCGCCCCACCGGCCCCAGGCGGTCAGGCCGTGATGGAGCTGGGAGCCCTGCAGGCTGTGCCACCCGAGGGGCGTTTCGAGGCTCCGGGCGGGGACGACCAGGGGGGCTCCTTCGGGCCCCACCAGCTTTGCGCCTTTTTCTCTCGGTCTCCTTGGCCTCCCGCTCTTGCGATGCCGCTTTCCTTTTCTCTTGCTCCCGGGCTCGGGCCTCGGCTGGGGGCCCCAATCGCCAGTTGGTCGCCTCCTGTAACACCCTGGAGGTCCAGGGCCGGCGGGGAGGCGGCTCAGGGGATCCCGGGCGCAGCCCACACCTGGGACAATGAGCAGGAACCCAGGTGAGCAGTTTGTGGGGGAAGGGAGCCGAGGTCTGGGGAGCTAGGAGCACTGCAGACCACTTTGGACAGCGGTGTGGAGGTGTGTGTATGAGTGTGTGTGCACGTGCACACATGTTGGGGCTGAAGTCGAAGCGGGATTCTTCACCATCTCTCCATCCACACTTTAACAGAGACTGCCCCATCTACCTCCAGCCCTACTCACATCCTTTCCTGTTTCCCCAAACAACCCTTGGGGTGGGCCAGGTCCTAGCTCTTGGGTTGGGTGGGGGATGCGTGGAAAGAGAAGGGGGTCCAGCAGCGCTGGCTGGTGCCTGGGGGCAGTCCGTAACCGCATAACCGCCCTACCACTCTCTTCCCCTCACCCCTCCTTCACTCACGTGCGGCTCTGGGGCCCGCCGACCCAGTGGCTGGCTTGGAAGTCCATGGACTGTCGAGGAGGGGCGCGGCGACTATAATGACAGGAAATAGTCTTCACTTGGATCACCAGCAGCTTGGATTTTTGCACCCAGAGGCAGCTTCCAGACTCCTCATCCTGGAGCTCCTGGGGGCTGTCCGGCCCCTCGGAGAATAGATGGCCATCCAGCATCCTGCCCCACCCCACCCTGGCCCCCCACCCTCCCACCCACCCCGAAAGCCCCCTCCCAGCCCAGGAAGCCGGCGCCCACTGCAGAGCGGCGGGCCCAGCAACTGGGGACTATATATACCCTGGTACACGTGTGTGCCTGTCTGTGTGTGTGTGAGCGCATGTGACATGGCGGGGACGGCTCTGCGCTGCTACCTCCCCCATGTGCAAGACCGCCCCCTTGGGCCCGGGATTGGGAGCCCCTTCCCACGGCTCATGTCCCCCAAGCCTGATGGAACCTGCAGGAGTGGGCAGGGGACTTCTTATTCTTGCCAAGCTGACAGTGACCCCTCCCTGTTTCCATTTCTTCAACCTTCCTGCCATTTTAACCCTTCACTCCCCTGCTTGTCAGGGTGCTTGACCACCAGAGTTCTGCCCTTGACTTCCTGCCTCCGACTTCAGTTTCTCCGACAGGGAGGTGATGGAAATGGAACTCAAGGTCTCTGTCTGCCACTCTTGCTGGTTTCCATGGGGTTGGGGTGCAGGAGGGGCTGGCCCAGGCTGGGGGGCTATTTTTAGCAGCAGTGGCATTCGGGTGCAGAGAGGAGATGAGTAACCAGCTTCCGTGTGGAGGGAGGAGGCGGTGGCTTTCATGCAGCTTTTGTGTGACTGGGGGGGGGGAGGCTACCTTCCCTAAGCTCAAAAAGCATGACCCCCATCCCCTTAACTGCAGCCCAGGTACAACAGGACAAAGGAATCTGTCTTGGCCATAGAAAATGCCCCACACTCCCATTCTAGATGTCTGTCCTTGAGCACCCATGGAGCCCTCTCCCTGCAGCATGCTCTCTCCCACAATCCAGAAGCCAGAAATTTGGGGTCATATTGTTCTGTGCCCACACAGCTCTGCTTAGCCTTATGGAGGACAGACTAGGATGCTTATGCATTTGCACCCTTTCAGAGGGGATGGAGGAGGAACGGTGTGCTCCCTTGGCAAAACCAATTCCCTAGCAACTGAGATAATAAAAGTGGCCTATTTTCTAGTATAGAGTTCCCCACCACCACCACCAACCACCACAATGCCTAGCTCACTCAGCCCCCCACCTGAAGTGGTGCTCAAGATGCTCACCTTTTAGGCCCATTCTGCCCTGGGGAGTTGTTGCTTACATCCACATGACCCCCCCCCCCCCACAAGCCTGTACCAGGTGTCCCCTGATTCACCATGGTAATGTTAGTGGCAGCACAGCCCACGCCAACCCTTCTATGCAGACTTAGCAACCATGCCTGGCAACCATGGCAGCAGCGCCAGTGAAGGGGCGGGGTGTGGGGAGGTGAGGAAAAGAGTGTGTATGGCAATGGTTCCTGAGGAAGAAGGGATAATTTGCCTCCCTTGAGAGGCATCGGTAAGAATAGAAGGCTATGAGGCTCCCAAATTTTGTTGTCTTTCCTTCTGCTCCATCCTCAGACTCTGAGACTGGTTGAGTTTTAGTAGGGAATGGGAGAAGCAAGAGATCCCAATTTGTTTTCCACTAACATACCTGCAGCCGTTTGGGTACAGATCCTTGCCCAGGAGGGTTGTTGTGGGGCAGACTGACATAATTGAGAACCACAGCAACAGAACACAGGCCTCCTATTCCCTAACATGGACTTTTAAAGAGAACCCATAGCCGGGCCGTTACGGCTCAGTGGTTGAGCATCAACCCATACACTAAGAGGTCGCGGGTTCGATTCCAGGTCAGGGCACATGCCCAGGTTGTGGGCCTGATCCCCAGTGGGGGGCGGGGGCATGCAGGCAGTGGCCAATCGGTGTTCTCTCTCATCAATGTTTCCATCTTCCTCTCCCGTCCTCTCTCTAAAATCAATAAAGAAAATAAAGAGAACCCATACATCCCCTATCCCATCCATTGACCCGTCCCCGCTTTACACCTACCAGCTGCCCTAATTGATGGCTCTTTGCTTGAAGGTGCTTCCTTCCACCCAGGTCCCACCAGAGTCCCAAGGCTTTTTAAAGCCCTTGCCTCCTCCCTAGACAAACCCCACTTCGTGATGGAATGTGACACAAGGAGGCATCTGTCCTTTCCTCCATGCACTCGCCCCCACACATATAAACATACCCTAATTCTAATAACTTGGAATGCCTCCCTCCTTCAAGTCTCGGAATGTGCTGTGAGAGCTGGGAAGAGGAGAATGCAGAAGCAGGGGCTTCTTCAAAGCCATGATGTAGCACTGAAAGCTGCCTTGATGCTTTCCCTATGTTCCATCAGGAAGCCTAGTTTGGAGGGACCTGTATGGTATGGCTGGGTTCATTAGGATTCTTAGGCACAGTGCAGGTAGGGGCAAAGTGTTCCTCTGAAACTGCTCGTGGTCTTAGTACCCAAGGCGGAAATGGTATCGTGCTAGCCACAGTGGTGAGATGGTATCCAGAATTTGCTCGTACCCAACAGTCTAGATGTCCTTATACTATTTGGTGTTGACTACTGTCTTGGACCCTATGGTTTCAGCACAGGGAAAGGGTCTGATGGGATAACCATAGTCCTGCGGCTCCCCCACTGCATACCCTCCTGCTCATTCTCATCTTGAAGAATCACACAGGATTTGCAGGTTCAAAGATAGTGTTAGTTCAGCAAAATCCAAATACAGAGTCGAACCTTCTGATGGTGGCATGTTTCTCTGCCTAAAGGAGATAGTCTACTTTCTGGAGAACTAACACAGTTATGTGATTTACCTGTGGTATCAGTTATGGTCCAGGCAGAGGAGAAAATGGGGGTAATAGGAGGACTACAGGGAATAGGGTGGGAATGGTTATAAACAGAGATTTAGAAAGGTAGTTAAGTCTAATACAGTAATAGAGAACATGAGCTCTGGAGCCAGACTGGGTTCAAATCCTAGCTCTACTTTTTACTAGCTATGTGGCCTTGGGCTAGTTTCTTAGCTTTTCAGTGCCTTCATATCTTTTAAATCTATAAAACTGGAATAATATCTATTATTGTTCTGAGGAGCAAATGAATTAATATATGTCAAGCACTGAGAATGGTGACTGACAGTTTTCTATCAAGTGTATGTTATTATTGTTGTTATTGAATTGAAGAAGCCATATGAAGTAGGAAGGTTGGAGCAGTAACTGTTTATCAACTACAAAAACAAACACTGCAATACCACAAAGAGGTTCCTGTAATTTTAATTAGGCTTGCCACGAAAAGCAATAACCTCAGCCAACCACTTTGCCACCCTCCCCCACCTAGCCCACCTCTCTTCACATGAATATAGCACAGGAACCCAAAGGCCTTCCTCCCTATGCTCCTCCCCACTCCCATGATAGGAAGAAATGTTACTAAATGGACTCAGCCTCCTCCATACAGCATGAAACAAGATGAATAAAAATATTTTTATGAAGAGTTGTGCTATTATCCTAGGGTGGAGGCAGTCAGAGGCAGAGATAAAGGCTGGGTGAGGTATGGGATCTCTTAGAGATCAGAATTTGTCCGAGGGGCACAGAGCTCATAGTTCACCCAGAATGGGGGTTATGTCTAAGAGGACAGGGGCTACAATGGGCTAGGCTGAAAGTTTTCCTCAAGTGCACGTGAGGAAAGGACAGCTAGAAATCCATTCTCCTTCCTTCCCTCACCTTTCCTGGCTCCCAGGTAGAAGGGTAGGGGTTTCCTGGGCAGGGAATGGTCACAATTCTCTCAAGGTTTCATCTGTGGTTCCCAGAGCTTTGTGCAGGCAGTGAGTGGGATAACCCTTGTTGCTGCCTGACCCCTTCCCCTAGCTCAGGGCTTTTCTCCACCTGTGAGCACCAGGGCCTGCAGGATGTCTGACAGGGAGACAATTCCCTTGACCACATCATTCTCATCCACCACTACAAGTCGGTGAACCTGCAGAGAGCAACAAGGGAGGAAGGGATGTTTAGTACCAACTTCACAGGGAGTCCTTCAAGCACTCCCCTCCTTGCCAAACCTCAGCTCCTTTTGGGTCGCTGGTCTCCCTACCTCTGCTTCCACTAGCCTGTTGATGATGGTCTCCAGAGTTTCGTGCAGGTAGCATTTGAGGACACCCTCAAAGTAATGTGATCGATGTTGCAGGGCTTTGGTCACAGACACATCTAGGTTGTTGTAGGTCTTTTCTGCTGCCAGATTCTTGAGGGAAAGGGGAAGGTGCTTGCAGAGAAGCAAGGGAGCCAGCCCCCAAACTTGAGCCCACCAACACCAGAGGGATTTAAGGCTGTTGTCAGCCATGCCCAAAGGCCACATCCAGCTCAGTTGATTCCTTTTCAAATAAGATTTGAAAGCTTGGAAGCTTCTTAAAACCCTTATGTCCCCAAAAGACTCTCTTCTTTTCCCTTTCCACATTCAACATTCCACCCCTTCCCTACCTCCCAGTCCCTCCATAATCACTCACGATAACATCAAACTTGGAGTAGATGTCCACCACACGCCCTAGGGGGACAGAGGCAGCTCAGCAAGGAAGGTCTGGTATCTAAGACTCCCCCTGCCCACCGAATCACCCTCCTGGCTGAGTTTATGGGGTAGATTTTCCCAGAGCCACCCTGACTTCCCTGGAGCCCTCCTTCTCCTTCTGCCCAACCTCTCACCTTTTTCATCCACCACAGGCAGGGCTGAGACTCGGTGCTGTACAAAGATGCCCAGAGCCACGTAGACGGGGGTGGTAGTGCGGACCATAGCAATGTTGGCATAGGTGCCAATCTGTAGCTTTTCCAGAGACTTAGACATGAACTCTGGCTTGGGGAATTCAGTGATCTGAGGAAGGAACCATCACCTTGATTTTCAAGCCCTCTTCCTCCCAATATCACCCGTGGAAACCCTTCCAACCGAGTATATAAGAAGTAAAAATGGCTGGGGAGCACTTACAAACAATTTGAGGAACTTGAGGATGCGCTTGTGGGTGAGGATGTACAAGGTGTTGCCCGATTCTGGGTCAATAACTGGCAGCCTGTGAATCTTGTTTCGAATTAATGAAGAGACAGCATCAAACAAGCTGTGAGAAGGTGAGGGATAACGGTAAGTTCC